GAATTAAAAATGAAATATTTATTACTTTAATAATACCTTTTTCTTCTTATAGAAGAAAAATATATAATATCAATATTTGTATTTTTGAAAAACCATTATGATTAAATTTCTTCCAAAAGATGTATGAAAAAACAATCTTTCTTTTTCATCCACTTCCATTTGTTTGAGCATATTCATAGATTGGCACACTTATTGGATAATTTCATAGATGTAAATACTTTCTATAATTAGTTTTTGATTAATAGAAATCATTTGAGATCTTGAAATCTCCAAAACTTGCACGACCAATATAAATTTCAAGGATTCGTTATTCGAAAAACAAGTATTTCTTTTTTAAAAGAGATTAAAGAATTTTCATTGTGTCGATTAATTTATGATTCAACGTTTACAAGATTCGATAAATATGTTTTTATTAATAAATTTCAAAAACTAATAGTATTAATGCTTTGATGAAGCAATAATTATGGTTTATAAATTAAAAATGTATTTTGAGAGATCATTTCATTTTTTAAATTATTTTTGTTCCCCTATTTTTTTCCTTAATTTGTATTTTTTTATTTCTCAGACTTTATTTTATATAGTTATTTGGAACATTATGGTATTTAGTATAAACCATAGACTTTAAATGGACTATAATACCGAAACTGTAATACTAATAATAAGGGAAATATGATATTCTAAACTCTTCATATTCTTTTATGCAAATGCAGTTTCGTTTTCATGAGACAATATACATTTTAATATATGTTTAGGGCATATTTTATACCAAACTATATAAGTTATATACAATAAATTGCGGTTTCCATTGCATATTAAATTTTTCCAGTGAAATATTTAATTATATAATATTTTTCGATTAAATTAATTTATTCCTTGAAAACCTTTAATTCATTATAATGAAACAATTTTAAAATGAAAAATATATATTATCATCTAATAGTTACAAAATATTAATCTTTGATGATGACAAATGAAAATAAATATTGATCACGATTTATATGTAACAATAAGATAAGCTATACGCAAGTTATATAATAAAATGAGATTTAAATAGATATTAAAATATGAGTGTAGAAATTGTTCGTGGATATTATATGCAAATTTTCTGTTTTGTACATTGCATACCATATCTTACAGAATTCCTGGACTGTCCCTAGACTGTCATCCACAGACTTTATATGCAAACAGTTTAGAGACAGTATTTGTATATTTGTAAATCTCTACATAACTCAACACCTTGACTGCAGCACGAATTTTATTCATTTTCACCCAGAACTCCAGAGAATTGTCGCTTATTTTAGCAAGAAAATTTTACAAAATTATAATATGCATACAAACAATAACACAATCTAAATAATTATAGAAACGTGGATATTATTTGTATGAATTCTTATCTGCTAATCCAGAAATTACATTATGAAAAATATAAACAGGATTTCTTGATCTATAAAAAACAATAAATGACTTTATCAATATTTTAATAAAAAATTTAATTTTGTAAGTACTCAATAGATAACTTACCAAGAAATAAATTCTAATTTTTTAATTTTATTTCCTTATTCGAATTTGCCAATTAATATTGAAATATGATTACGAATTTATCAATCTTCATTTTACAAAACATCTATATAAAAAAAAGAATCAACAAAACTCTCGACAAACTCTGTTCCTGTCGAATAAGATGATTTTGAGACTTCATGCTCGGAAACCGCAATTTATTTCCAAACAGTCTAATAATAATTAACCATGTGTCCACATGTGGCCGGGCCACAAAGCCATCCGCCGATCCCAGAAGGAATATCTCAAAGTCAATTGTTGCAACCTCATCAAGGATAGATAGGCAGCGGTCCAACTTCCAACCATGGCTGCGTATATAATGCACAATGTATTGTGCAGATTTTCCCCGCCGCAATTCGCGGGATGCAGCCGGGATCCAAAATTGAAATCACGCGACGCCCCCGATGGGAGTTAACGGAGATCGTGGTCGAGCATAAGGCGGCTGAAAATATCGATGGAACCTCGGCCTTCCCATAGATATCGCCATTTTACGAGAGAACCTCGTGTCTAACATGCCATCGACGTCGAAAAAATACGAAAGGCAGCTAACTGATTTTTCTCATAAAAATTCCGAAGAAACACGGAGAATATTTTTGCTTCTTCCCTCAGATGAATTTATTTAATAAGTGATTATTAGTGAAATATTGAAATTAGGAAACGTTCGAGTTATATCATTGAGATCATAAGTGAAATGGTTTATGTTATGTTGATTTTAAAATACGTAATGTTTTTTGAGTTAGAATTTTGAGAAATTGAAATTGAAATTATTAAATTGAGACAAAGATTAATTGTTCTGTGAGATATATGGATTAAAAGTAAATAATTTAATCGGACGACTCGTTTTAAATCAAAATTATGACTCAATGAGTTGGTTCGTAAAAATATTATTCTGAACAATTTAAAGAAAGAAATTATTGAATCACGTTGGAATGCGAATAAAATTTTTGTAATATCGTCTAATAATCACTGGTTGGATGAAATCGTGCGTAAGTAATAGCAGTTATCACTGTTAAATTCCATAGAAATCGTTCGATCCTTAATTAGTGACGTGGAATATCAACGTTCTAATGAAATCTTTCTAGCCTTTTGAATAATACCTATTCAAACTGGGTCTCTGTTACAATTATATAAAATATTCTTTATATTTTATTGAATAATCTTGAAAATATAAGCTATTCTATATTTCTATATACGTAGATAATATATAAGATAATATGTATTTAATTCAGAGCATGTCACAAATTTTTGAACAAATTTAATAATTGATATGAAAGTTTCTATTCTTATAAATATTTGCTCTTTTCTTACTATTCTATAGTTTTAATTTATTGTTATTTATTGAATATAACTAAAAGAAAATTAATATCACAATATTTTCTCAAGAATTTTCTAAAATTATTATATATTTTAAAACTTTTATATTTCTTTTAATGTACACACAAACTAAAAGATTAAACAATTGAATTTAAATATATTTAATGTATTTAATATGTGTTCCATTTTAAATAAAATAATACTTATTCCATTCATGAACAAAAAAATATTATCTTTTGAAAAATGAATACTATTAAAATTGAAATTTCAATAAACAATCTGATCACATTTTAATAATTGTTTTCCTTTTTCAATTACTGTATTTTATTTTCATCATTAATAAAAAAAACCAATATCGTTTAATGAGCTAATAAAAAAAATTCCATACATAATTGCATATGTACATCATCATTAAATATTCCCTTTCATATGCTAAATCAATTGCCAAAAATTGCCACAGTATTGAATTTGAAACAATTAAAGAACATACAAGCGTGTCACAAATTAAGGATTAAACGAAATATCATCAAATTCTTTTTATTTTTTTCCATTTACTTTTACTCTAAATACAATTGGTATAATTAACATTGTTGCAAAAAAATAAATAAATAAAACACATATTCTTGCAAATGAGAAAATATGTATACAAATACACGTATAATCCCATTCAGGAAGAATGAAATATTAAATTTTCCATCTCGAGAATTAAATACACGGAAATTCATAATGGAAATTTGGATATATCGCCAAATATATATTATATATTTCCATATATATATATTTATTCCTTCGAATATCTATTAAAAAAATTATCTCCAAATAAACCATTACGAGGATAATATCCTACGTGAAATATTCATGGAATATTTTGATCGAATTTATCGACGTGTTTAAGACCACGATATCCCATTTAATTCTCTTTAAATTTTCGAGTTTCATCGAAAAACACAAAGCGCGACAAAGAGTCTTAAAATAAATCTGCAAATAGATTAGACGACCTAAACGAAACTATTATACACAACTACCGTGAATACGCTCTATAGCACGAAACAATATTTCCAATCATAATCGAGAAGAATAATAATTTTCACCGTCCGAACAAAAGCAATTATCTCGAAGCGTTAATCAAACCAGGGTCGAAGATCGAGGAAGCTCAATACCAGGTCGATCTCATTAAAACACAAATGATTGATGAAACGAACCAGATGTTACGCAGAATCGATAATTCTCGACGCCGCCTGATTCTGATCGAGGAAGACAAGAATCGAAGAATGATATTTCAATATCACCTGTTTTCCTTTTGAGATTAAAAAAAATCTCTACTAAAACTCGTCGAGAAGTACATATAGTATCAAAAATTGTCATTGTCCATATTTTTGGGGAGGGGGGAAAAAAATATTCAAATAAATATTTATCGCAAAATTAAATTTTCTTTTGCCAACGTTACGTTTAAATTTTTCAAAACGATCAAAAACCAAAAAATCCATAAATATATCTGACGGACGTACTGACAATTTTGATATCATATCTCTCAATCCAAATCTATCCAAATTCCATTGTCGCCTAACTCTTAGCGGATAAGAGACACGGAGGAATCGTTGGAAGCGCGAATAATTAAGGGGAGAAACGTCGAAAACGTGTAATTAATATATTCGCAATGTCGTCCGGCCATACGAATCGTACATCGACGATCGATTTCGATTTAATCCGTAAAAAAAAAAAAAAAAAAGAAATTCCAAATACCTTTCCGTGACGGAACGCGAAAGAAACGCGGTATACAGCTCGATGGCGTTTCAGTGGCGATAGATAGATAGGTGGTCAACGTGATAAAATATATCGTAGAAACATAATCCGACTAAATCAATCAAACAGTCGCAAGACTCCAAGTGTATGTGTAATACATACATACATATACAAAGAGAGATAGACAGATATAGAAAGAGAGATAGATAGAGATAGACAGACAGAGTATACATATCGTGTGTATATATGTGACAATTCATGAAAAAGAATCAACGGAAGAATAGAAAACTAAAAAAGAAAAGAAAAAAAAAAAGAGAGAAACAAGGTGTATTATTGTTTGGCTGGTGTGATACTTGGCAGGCAAGGCATGCTACGAGTTACGTTACCTAAGGTGAGCTTCTCCCCGGAATCTGGCGGAAGGGTGAACCCCAGGAGGGCCATGCTCGATATCAGCACGCACGGCACGATCAGGTTGAAAAAATAGTATAGGGTCCTTCTACGGATCTGTATGGTGAATGTGACGTCGACGTAAGGCTCCGGACAGCATTGGTACGTTATCGTGTTCTTCTTGCCCGGCATTCCTGGAACATAAAGCGAGATTTAGTTAGTAAAGAACGGAAATTGTTGTAATAATTTGATAACAATTGTTGTAAATATTTGAAAACACGATTTTAATTAGGATAAATCTATGACAGATTGTTTTGAATTGAATATATTTTTTGAAATAATTTTCGATTAAATTTACTTGATATGAAACGTATAAATCAATAATACAAGATTAGCTAGTTAATAGTTCATAAATTGTTAATTGTTATACATATGCTTATTCAATGCAATTCGAAAAAGATTTTAAATATTAATATCATCGCATCATAGAATTTTTATTTTTGTAACATTCATATTATAGATTTCAATTTTTCTCATATGAATTTCAATATATTATAATTATTTCTATATATTATAATTATATAATTTCTATAAATTTAATAGTACCTTGACACAATATTGTGATAAGATTTAAAATGGCAAGTTTACAGAAAAGATTTTGGAATATATTTCGTACACAATCGTACGGTATTGCATCATTAGATAGACAGATCCTCGTTGAATCGAACGAAGCTCAGGGAGAAATTCAAATCATCCGCTACACACCTCTCTTGTTCCCGTTCATGCAACGCGCCGCTTTTGACCGCGTGTGAAAGTGAGTTTGGCGACTGTTGCACGCGACGGTGTAATTTGGCACGGTGCAAATTCCGATAGGAGTTTAAACACCCGTTGCGGGCCGAATACGGTAATTGTGTTAAGTGCTTACCCTTGGGAGATGCGTGTTTCACTGGTTTCGACAATGGATAGGAAATCGATATGAATTTTACGCCAGTCTTTTTCGACAATACGTAATTTCGTGCTATTCTTTTATGATAAAAAAGGAGCAGAGTTTTATTGTTTTAATGATTCGAGCAAATTGTTTGAATTTCAAAGTATCAAAATAAACAATATTTCTTTAAATTGATCATTCCCAAAAGAAATATCAATCGTATTAATTAATAATTTTAAGTTTGAATGCACAATGCATATCAAATATTGATAACTACTATTCTGGATGATAATATGAATAGTAGTTTCAAAGTATCAAAATAAACAATATTTCTTTAAATTGATCATTCGTTACTTCACAAAGGAAATATCAATCATATTAATTAATAATTTTAAATTTAAATACACAATGCATAAATATTAATAACTAATATCCTGAATGATAATATGAATAGTAGTTTCAAAGTATTAAAATAAACAATGTTTCTTTAAATTGATCATTCGTTACTTCACAAAGGAAATATCAATCATATTAATTAATAATTTTAAATTTAAATACACAATGCATAAATATTAATAACTAATATCCTGAATGATAATATGAATAGTAGTTTCAAAGTATTAAAATAAACAATGTTTCTTTAAATTGATCATTCGTTACTTCACAAAGGAAATATCAATCTTCACAAAAAATATTAATTAATAATTTTAAATTTAAATACACAATTCATAAATATTAATAACTAATATCCTGAATGATAATATGAATAGTAGTTTCAAAGTATTAAAATAAACAATATTTCTTTAAATTGATCATTCATTACTTTACGACAAAAATATCATTCTGGTTGATAATATGAATAGTGGTCACTCGTTTTCGACATCCTCAGTTTCGAGCATAACGCACAATAATGTTAACTTTATATTCGAGACAAATCTTTGTGCTTTTTTCGAACAAAATCAAGATTGCGAACGATACAACGGATCTCTAATCGTAAACGGAAAGAACAAATTGAGAGAGCTTGTGTAATTAACTTTCGACCTCTAATTTTGATCAAGCTGACTGTGGCGCGCGGATTACATGGCTCGCTAATTTTGCGAGCAACGTGCATCGCGCGCATGACACGAACTCTCAGACTAATTTCGAATTACGAGGGGGAAGCATGCATCGTTGGGGATAGCCGAGCATAGTCATAACTAGGAAAATACGAGCACGTTGCTTCGTGACTTTTGTTTAACTGTTTTCACGAGACGACTACATCTGTTAGAAATCTTATGGTGTCGTTTACAATAAATAAAATTATTGACAAGCGCTTTCGTGAATGAAACGATGCATTCTTTAATAAAATTTAAATTAATTTAATTAAATTTAAATTTAAAAAATAAAATTTTAATTAAATTTAAAAATTTAATTAAAGATCAGTGTATAGATGAAATTATTTAAATTAAAAAATTATGAGAACTTCGAATCGTTATAATTGCAAAGATATCATAAAATATTATTATTATTTATTTTTTATATTCGAGATGATAAATTTTTCTCATCAAGTCATCGATTATATCTATAAAGTTGTTTGACTTTCATAAAACAAGTACTTTCAACGATCCTATTCTACTTTATGTGTATATTACTAAAGTGTAATTTCACTTCCTTGTTCGAAATAAAGAAGTTTAATATTGACTGAAATAATATATGTGAACAGATATCATAAAATTTAATAAAACATCATCGAAAGAATGAATTCATGTGTTCGACAGATATTGAAAGAGTCTTTTAATTATCTTTAATTAAATAATATATTTCACGATTTAACCTGATGATTCAAGGATAAGAAAAGGAGGACGTTTCACTTGTTGCTGCATCCTTGGAACACTTTTTCCTAACATTTATACAAGGAGAACGTTAATATCCCACATGATTCTAGTCGTAAAACGGAAGCAGCATCTGTATCTGCCCTTATTGTGCAAATGTGCAATTTTAATTATTTCACTGCACGCGCTTCTCTATGGGACCGTGGGACCGTTTTACTGTTCGCAATTTCATGCAAAATAGCTATATTTCTTTCTTCTTGTTTTTTTTTTTGGTTCTGTTTTATATGTTTCCAAAACGAATTTCAGAATTTATAACTTTATTTTGTGCTTTTGTGATATCGCTTTGCTTTTAAATAAAAATACAAACATTGGCTTCGACAATATCGAAAACTGTTTAAAAAAAAATAAAAAGAATATATCTTCGAGATATCTCGATAATCTAATTTTATTTTGCTTTTGTAAAAACGATTTCTAAAAAGGAAGAATAGTATACTATTTTACAACAATTATTCTATTAATCTTCTCAGAAGAAAAAAAATATCTTTCGTACAATATTCATCAATTCACAGTATCTAAAAGTATTACACAGCAATCTTAATATAATATCGAAACTTCAAAGATAATTCTAGTTTAAGCAATAAGAAAAGAAAACAACATTTTCAATAATAACATCAAAACTGTGCATCATTTTCAGCATATGCATTTATGCAAAATCATTCTCCTCTGAATCATATCAATTTTGCATCATCTTATAAGATATTGCACACACCCTATTCCTCGCCATTTATGTCAAATCACCAATAAACTCACCGTCCACGAAACATATTCACCAATAAACTCACCGTCCACGAAACTATCAGACACTCACCTCGAAGTCATCTCGTCCCACCTTTTCATTCTCGAGGCAAGTATCGAGGCGAGAATTTTCACTATAAGCCTTAAAAGAGGGAAGTATCGAGGCTAGATAAAGGTTAGAGCTTGCGACGCTACACATTGAAGAAAGCTGAATTTATTAATGCAATTTCGCTAAGATTCTCGCAACCATTCTCCATTATTCTTCGATTTCAGATTCCTGGCCAAGCGTTTTTATACAAGTTCACAAGCGAGCATCGACAAAATGAAAAAAATTCGAACAACACTACGAAACTGTCGTGACGAATAGTGATGGGTTCGAATATCTCGCGAATGAGTTTGGAAAATTGACTTACAAAATTCCTTGTATGTATTTCAAGAGAAGAAGAAGAAATACATTAAAAAAGGAAAAAGATAATTTCAAAATTTTTCTTAGCTATTTTTGAAAATATTTATTACAATTCGTGTATGACCAATTCATTTAACTTATACATTTTCATATTTTTAATGAGACTGCATAAACAATAAAATTATAAATTGCATTTCTAGATCTTTCTGATTCTCATAATTATTAAGTAACTTTATATTTGAATCATTCTAATTTCGATTAATTCTATTTTCTGAAAAAATAGTTCTTCCCTCGATACTTTAATTTCACAGTTTATCGATTAATCCAACACTGATTCGATCCCATCGCTGTATCGAAAAGGAGTCAAGAGTGAAAGAAATCGTGGACATCGAGATTCGAAGTGTCGTAAAACGATTCGAGGCTTGTTCGATCGCCACATCGATTAGAGACTTTATGATGCACGATGAAACGGAAGACGATGAGATATCTTTATCGCCCAACGACGTTTTTGGGATTGGAGGAGCGTGGAAGTGGGTTTCTAACGACTTCTATCAGCATTCCTTTACGCGCCAGTGACACGAATATCGCGCGCGAGAAAACGAAGAGTGCATTTTACCGTGGAAACCTGGAAATTGGCTTCCTCTGTTGAAACATTATTAAGAAACGTTACGTGGCGGAGGTATTCACAAATAGGAGTTTTTGTTATGGCCAGAGAAAATTCCGAGAGAATTGGATTCGAGATCAGAACGGAATGACTTGAGAAGATCAACTTGGAACGATATCCTTTCTAGTTTTATAAAAATAAGTTTGTATTTATCTGAGATAATTGTTTTATCAAAATTGTGTTTCTTAATGAATTCATTATGTATAAATATGAATGTATGAATACTATGAATGTGTAGAGTGTAATGGATTATAGTCATTTACTTTCTTAGTGGAATGTCACTTTGAAGAGGAAAATTGATATTATTTGTATTTTAGTTCCTTTATTAATACATATGATTTAAAAAAGTGATGTAGTATTAAACTTATTTTGCAAAGAATCTTTTTAAGAAAGGAGAGAAATTTTGAAAACATTGAAAAATAAAAAATTGAAAATCAAAATGAAATAAAATAATATAATATTTTAATAAAGATATTTAAAAAAAATACTTTTCTATATATTTTTCCAGTCTTATTATTATATTGAATCACAGTTGAACGAGATAAAATAATAGAATAATTCGATTAATTTAAAATAATGTGAAATTTACATTACAATTCTATTTTCTATTGAACTCGTTGAATTCTATCATCACGATTCTCGGTTTTCTAATTAATATAGAAAATTCAGAATATTCAAAATGTTTTATGTATGAAATTTAATGTTTTTAACTGGAATTTTCGATGGATCAAATATTTAAAATGAAAATAATGTGCATGCGAATGATATGAATGTAGCTTGCATCAACATTGAAACGTGTTAATACTTCAAATTGACATATATTCTATTACGGTGTCAAAATCAGCGTAGAATGGAAAATGGATTTTCGATAATCCATTGCTGTTAGAACTAGTTGGCACGAGTTCGATTTGCGATCCATCGTTGCTGTTAGAACTAGTTAATTTGCAATTTATAATAGAATGTTATTAGAAAATGTTACGAAGAACTTGCGAACAATTGATTTTCAACAATGTAGAATTTAAAAAACTATAACGAGAATAATATTTTGAAAATAACGAATGATTTATTATATGTATTCTTATTGATTTTTAGCATTCAAAATTGCAAAAATTTCTTTTAAAAATTATTATTTTTATTAATGCATTATTAAAAAATTGATAATTAGAAATTTTATTTCTATATCCATATCTAATAATATTATTGAATATAATTATTTGTAAAATAGTAATAACATAAAAGAATTTTTCTAAAATAATATTAATATTATTTTAATTTTATACGTGTCTACAAACATATATATTTTGTTATAGTTATATGACATTGCCTTTAATACATTCCTTTCTCTATATATCTATTGCTTGATTTAATACTGAGTTGAGCTACTTGTAGGTGCTGATAGTTATTGACTTATATTCCTTGCTTGTGAGCTAAGTTTAATAGTTGTCTAAGATATGATGTCTGTTCTACTTGGTGTTGAATATTGAAGTAAATTATTATTACTTGAAGATAAATTTACATTAAATTCGAAGATATTTCGAATAACCTGTATTTCGTTGTTTCATTAAAATTTAAGGTAGTGGAAGATTGAAAATATCTACATAATTTCTATGGACATTTAATAAGATTTCTTATTACTTGAAAAACATTAAGGCAGTGAATTTCAAGATTATCATTATTGCGATAATTCTCATTTTACTAATAATATTACTAAAAGATTTCGCGAAAGAACGAAGAAATTTTAATGTTGAACAAAAATTTGTATTGTATTTTTAATAATTTGTGTTAATTTTAAGAATATGTATAACAATTTACATATATTTACGAATAAAATGTGTTTTAAAAGAAAAGAAAAAATTTGCTAATTTTTTATTGTATAAAGAAATGACGTATACGTGCTTAATATATGTATATAAAGTGTATATAAGTTGTATATATTCATGATTTCTTCAGCTTGTTTAAACAGAGCGAAAATTCATGTCTCGAAATCTAGAATATTTATTCAAAAATAAAGTTTCAGTGTAAGAACTGATAAGATTTTCATTTTCTTTCATGATAAAAAATCAGCATATTTTACTATTTTCAAAAATTTCGAAACTAAATTTGACTAATTGAGAAAAAAGGAAAAGATTTAAGATTGTTATTTTTTTTTCTTTTACGTATTGTTCAATGAAAGAATGATATAAGAAGAATGTTATGAAAAGAGAAATTAATACTAATTAAATAACAATAAAAATGTTTGAAATTATTGAAAATATCATTAAATTATTATTTAAAAAGAACAAGTATATTCATATTCAACAATGACATAATTATTACAAATGAAAGAAATGAAATTAACAATCATATCCCTATTATTTCAAATGAAATTTTATGTATTATGACCAACAAACCGTTTACACATCATTTTACATTCGTTACAACATTTATACACTACTCAATTAAATCCAAGTACATTAAATTTTCCATCATTTATCATCCATTACTAAAATTCAATACTTTGAACCGTTTTATCCAAAGATATATAATTATATATGCAAATTTCTTATAATATTTTTATATCAAGACTTTAAAAAAAAAATCCAGAGGTACTCACCGATCAGGTACCATTCTCCATTCGTGATAAAGTCGGACAGGTCACCGCCCGTCTCCGAACTGAGCACGAGGTCGACCTAACAACGTCAAAGTTCGATTAACAGAGGCAAACATCTATGGCCGTGGCATTTCTGCTAGGTCACACACAGCGAAGCGGGCATACATGCACGTGCGACAGCTTTATGTCACTTTTCGCTTTCTACACCTACTACCACCATTACTTTCGCAGCGGCTATGGGCAGCAGAATAACATGGCGCGCGGTGTTGGTATTCGATAAATAAATCGTGCGAGGAGGAGGTTCAAGGAACGATGGCGTGTCGATAAAGGAGTGTTTCATGTCTGTATAAAAAAAAAAAAAAAAAAAAAAATAGGTAAAATCCGTGGCCATCGACAGACTGAGCCTCTGAATTCTTCCTCAATCAGGAATGAGAGAAACACATTTTCTCCGCCGATGTTTAAACGTACGCTTGAGAGTAAAATCTCAAGTTGCTCTCGAAAGTATTTCTTTACAAGTGAACACGTAAATTCTTTTTAAGATAAATTTCTTATGATCCATCTGAGGGTAACGATTTTTCGAAAGTTGCTCTTGGTTGGATTTCAGAGTATCATCGAAGGAAAATTCTGAAAAATGATAGTTTAGTTATTCTAGTGACGTTTCAAGAACCACTTAATTAATTATTTTAATCCATTCTCTTTTATTTTTGTCTCTGGTAATTTTGCTTCTTTATGTTTATCGAAAGGGTATAGAATGCTAAATTAAAAGAAATCCACTTTTATTCTCATTCATTTCGTTTTTCTTTCATGAAATTTTGTGACGTTTTGGAGGTTTCGATTGATTGTATATATACAGGATTGATATATTTAGGTTTGGAAAATTACGTTTCGTAGATATGATATATTGATTGTTGTATTGGTTCATCATCATCCCTTGTCGAAGCTGCTGCGCTGACGAAACTTCGAAAATTTCTCTTTGAAGGAAACACAAGTAGTACATGAAATATAGAAATTTTATCTTGATTTGTACTTTGATTCGTCTTTTATTATGTATTTTTGTAAATAAATTATAAGAAGATAAGAATTAACAATTGCTAATAAAATTATTAATAATTAGTAAGAAGTAACATTATTTATTTTTTTAAATAATTCAAAGCAATACGTAACTCCAGTTATATAGGATGTTTCAGTTTTTCCTGATTAAATTTCAATATAAATATTAATATAAATTAGAAAAAAAATATTGTATGGAAAGTATGTAATTTAAAAATAAAATTCGCACTTACAATGCAAAATACAAAACAAGAATAGGTTTAGAATGTATTAAAAAATTAAAAAATTTAATAATATGATAAATTTGATAACTTTTTGTAATAAAACATTACAAATTTTTTAAACTTAATCTTTTTGAAAATAATATCTTTATCGAAATCTCTTTATTGTTAATTTTGTTTGCTTTATTTTAATCCATAGAATCTCTTTAATATTTAATATTTAATATTTAATATTCTAAACGAAATAATATATTATAATTGAATAATTCGCAGTAATTATTTTGATAAAAATTTATTCTTATTAAATATTTTATATAATACACTTAGTATGTTAAATTTTTAAAAAATGCATGGAAAATACGAATTTAAATAAATTTCCATAATCTTTTCTTTTTTCGACATTTTAAAACATTTTTCTTGGTTTTCATTTACACTCAAAGAATATACTTTGACAAAATTTTCCTGGAAAAAAACACCTTATCCTACAAAGTTTCGCTACCTTTTCTCTTTCAAGAATATTCACCGATATCCTTTCTTCCTTTCATTCTACATACAAAAAAAAAAAGACTCACATGAAATACCGAAGCTACCCCTCAAAGAATGCTTGTTTCATCGTAGAATGCTTTTTAAACGGTTTCTCGGTTCCCTTAAAACTTCTCGTTTATCTGTTGCTCTTTGATCGAGAGCCAAACAAGATGTGGTTTAGCGTGTTCTAACTTTTATGACCAGTATTTCCATCCTCCTTCATCCATCATGTATCGTTGATCGTTTTAAAAAAGAAAAAACGTGTTCATCTCGAGTTACACATTAACCTTTTCGAGACTAATAGAACATCGTGTCTCAAAGTAACTTTTAAAATGGATTTTAGCATTGCTACAATTTTTGATCAAATATTAATGGCAAGATTTATTGAGAGATATATTGAACAATATTAAATATGTATTATATAGTATTTTATAATACTATTAATGAACTACTATTATTAATAATATTATTATGGTTTTAAATTTTTTAGTCTATCAGAAAAATCAATAACTATTAATGTAACTATAATACTATTCAATGGAATATTATATCTCAATAAAATAAACTTTTAATATTATTTAAAATATTTATTGAAACAATAATCCAGAGAATTCAATATTATTTTTAATTAATTTACTATATTTTTTGCTATCATATTCATACTCATTGTTAAAAAGAAAAATTTGTCTCGAAAGTTTATAAAACATGATTGAACAAAATATGATTTATCGGAAAGAAAGAAAGAGAGAGAGAGAAAGTAAGATTGCTCGAGAATTTCTTTTTATCCAGTGATCGAGGAAATTGAATAAATTGTTCGATGAATTGAAAGAAGGTGCATAAAAAAGTCAGAGATGAAACGATGATCGAGCTCAATTTGCTTCGAAGCGATGCTGACATTAAATTGAAATTTCACGAACTCGATTAAACCTTTTTGTCGATTATGCGTATTGGAAGACGATTTTTTAACTTTGGTTTAAATGATGAAGGATGAAAGAGTATTCTTTTTTTTTTTTCATTTGATGATTCCACGTTGTTCGAAATGGATCTTTGAGATTTTTTTTTTTTTTTTATATAAATGTACTGATGGTTTTTTCGAACGAAAATTTCATTTCATCGATATTACTTTATATGCACGTGTTTCGATCTTTGATAAAATAAAAGATGGAAAAAATTTTTGTTTCAAAAAGACATGTTTTAAATTCAAAATCTCAATAATAATTCTATAATATTGAAAGATTCTCAAATCTCTGATAATTATTTGGAATATTTCGTTTGAAATTTTAGGAAATTTTCGTTAGAACAAATGAATGTGCAGAGGAATTTTCGACCAGAGCAAATGATTTTTGTACGAAAAATATTAGCTCTTCGATCAAAGTATTTATTGTAATAATGTATTTCGAATGTTTGGAATGTTCACAGCCAAATTTATTCTTCAAAATAAAAGTTATATACTTGTTTTTACGAAACAATATATATTCTTTGCAATTAAAAACATTTTTTGAAATAAATAATTAAATATTTGAAATACTTTTTAATTTCACAGTTCATTATTCATAGTTCATTATTCATATTTAAAATATTTATAATCAAATGTTTTATTTGAGATTATATTATCATTCATCTTTTTCACATAATCATCAGAATATCTGTCTTTTTTCATATCTTCACAAATTTGCAATTTTTTTTGCATAAAACAAACTCATTCGCATTGTTAATCTCTCATAACTTATCAGGATGTATCACATATATTTCACGTTTCATCACATATTTCAAAATGGTTCTCATTTCATTTATTCTCGAGGGAATGCAGCTTAGCTTACTCTATTTGTATCGAGACTAATCGTCGTATTTTACACATGCGTGCACTGAAAATTTAAATGGAGTTACGTATTGGCACGAACGATATGAGTTTAACACATATAATTAGAATATATTTACAACAGCACAAATCAAAAGTACATACATAATTCAATTATTAGCAATTATTACTGATAAATCATTCAATTCGTGTGAATTATATTTTTTATATTACTCAAATACAAAAAGAAAAAAAGTATACACCATTCGAATACTTTTCACGATTAATATTTTAATTTTTCAAGAATTGAAAATTTATTCATGTTTAAAAAAGAGTATCTTGCAAATATTTCATAATACTTTCGAGAAACATTTAACGAAACAAGAAAGAATAAAATTTCTACGAACCAACCAAGAGATTTTTTTTCCTCTTGAAACAAATATTATACTTCAAAAGAAGGTAAAAGAACAATTCCAAGAGAGAGATCTCCACTCTTATCATCATCCTTCTTCTAGAACGAATGCAACGAACGACAAACTTCATTCGTGTTAATTTTGCGCTTCGCACAATTCTCAAATTTCATATTCCCCGGAAAACTTTGCACTGTTAAACACTAACCGCGCAAAATCTTGATTTCCCAGGCGGTTCCAAAACTGGTTCTTAGAAACGTCATGATATTTCACTCAGGACGGATACGTCCATCGTTTCGATTGCCATTTCTAGTCGGCCGGCGAAGAAAGCGTGAGCTCAGGTCTGTTTGAAATTTATCGGCCCATGCACGATTGATAATTAATCCTGAACCGGTGACAAGTAACTCGAATGCGATTCACGTTGACCGTTTTTGTCCCGACACGTCCGTCATATAAGGAGAGATATCGATTACTGTAGAGGGATAAGGGAACGTCTTGTTCTGGAACGAAAATAACGCGGTTTAAGTTGAAATCAAAAGGGGTCGAAATGTAAATAGAAAAGATCCTTATTGTGTATACGAAGATTTTAAGTGTTTATAGAGAACAATCTTTTCGATGTAAACTTAAGAGCGTTACATTTAGTCTCATGATGCATTGAAATTGATTAAAAATATTTAAATGTTTTATTAAAACATTGAAAATAGATAGGACTATGATTATGTAAAATTTGAAATAAATTCAAAAGAGTTATAAAATGTTTATTATAATACATTTAGATAAATCTCTAGAAGATTATAATTAAATATTCAATTCTTATTAATGCGATGAAAATCACTTGTTTAGGTATTGTTGAGGTTCTTCACAAAATATACAGTCCACTATCCAAGATAATATAATACAACACGTTATATTGCCATTGAAAGAAAAGTATTAACATCCTATAAAAAAGGATAATTTTTCCTTATTTCTGGATTCACTTCAAATTTTACCCATATAATCGTATCAATATCTTTACCATATTATTATTACCATTTTAAAACAAATTTTTCTCAAAGTATTCCAATTCCAATTTCTC